CAGAGAGTTTGGTGGGGGAGATACAGACCCACCTTGGGTTCTTGGGAATGGGGAAGTGCACCATTCCCTGCAGGATTTTGAATCCCTGTATACCATCCTTCCAGCACCTTTTTCTAACCAAAAAAAGCTGCTAATGTTGTCACCTTCCAGGGCCGTGTCTGTCATGAGGCAAGTGGGCAGTGTAGCAGGAGGAATGGTAAAACGCAGCGCGTCTCCGTAGTCCACGGGGAGGCGAGGCAGTCTGCTCTGGCAAGAGAGAAGCTCTCGGGGCTCTCCGGACCACGCGCCCTCCCTGCTTCCTTCGTGCCGCACCCCCCTTGGTCACTGTGGGGTGCTGTGCAGCGGACTGGCAGTGCGGTACGACCCATGCAGCCCGCCCGACTGGTTGTGCTCTCACGAGACCCAGCCAACTGAGCGCCCGCGAGAGCCCCTCGACTGGCAAGGGTTCGATGCGGAGACAGAGAAAAGGCCCAAGCAGCGGCACGTATTTTCATCTTGGGCAGCAGGACACTTTGGCCCGGGGCTGTAATCTCTCCACCAAAGGGAGCTGATCGCATTTTGGATAGTGTGGAAAGCAGAATGGTGTGCAAGCTTCTAAGCGTGTTTGCACCATAAATATCAAGGCAGCTTTTTTTATAATTGCAGGCAACAGAGCTGGGCAAGATGGTCACCAGCCGCCTGCTGGCTGTTGCCAGTCAGAGCAGCCATACTAGGCTAAAGGGCACCATAGAAAGCAATTTCTGGTTTCTCTTCTGTCAAGTTAGTGCTATTTTATATGGCTCCTGAGGATCCTACAGGACCAAAGAGTGCTGGCCAATTTCAAACCAGGGCATCATACAGAAGCTGCAAAGATCAGGGGTGACTTCAGGAAAGCCCTCCTGGTTCCGGACGGGGATGGGCTTGTCAGATAACAATTTTCCTGCCTTCCAATTCAGGGTGTTTGCTTTTTGGACAGCAGCAAGTAGTGCAGCATTACTGATCCAGGCAAGCATTGGAGGCAGTGGCAGGATTAATTCACAGTGTGGAATTAATTAATTGATAGGATTAATTCTGCAATGTGCGTGTCTCTCTGTGTGCAAGAAATACCATACCGAGCTGGTAAACAGTTTAACCCTTTTACCTGTTCTGCAAAAGGGTGCTAGCAAAGCAGTTAATGAAAGCAGCAGACCACAAGGACCAAAAGATGATTCGTCTGTAGCACAGCCCGGTCTTCTTAGAATTAAACTCTTACATTTCTTACATATCATTCATTTATGATACAAGTAGAAAATACAATTGAGAAATACTGGAGAAACCATGAGTGTTAAATAAAAGCTGTAACTTTGGGGGACACGATATCTTCTTCCAGTCCTTTTATAGTCATGGCGATGCAAAGTCTGGGATGCCCATTTCTCAGACCTGCTAGAGGAAATATAATTCCTCTCTTTCAAATTCTGAAGAATATGGAGAACATGCATAACTCTTTAAAATGCTTCCACCATTTGTATGTCGAGTGTGGTTATGGCCTGCAAGCTGACTAGGACTTGAACGGAGCGTGTGCCTTGTTCTCCCGAGACAAGAGTTAAAACTGTGCAGTGGCTTATTGTCGTTCCACTAAGAGTGCGTGGTGCGTACTGCTTTCCCAGGCACTGCTTTTCCAGGCCAGCAACCACTCAGGTCTCCAGGCATGCGCAGGGCCATGTTTGAGGAGGTGGAACATGAGGCCCAGTGGCGCTGGCCTCTGGAGGACGCCATGCCCGCCCGGGAGCGGTCTCTCTAAGGACCGCCATCTGCGTTTCACTGGGCGTCCAGCCTATTCCATTTTCTCCTCTTGCCTCAGTAAGTGCTGGCCCTGCTGAGCCTCCTTTGGGAATGTGGGCAAGAGATCCCTCTCTGCCGGGAGGAACGTGGGGCCGTCCCCGCAGTTCTCGCCTTCTCTGGCATTTCGAAGGCATCCCTTCCACGCTGGCCGGGCCGCACCTGGAGCTCAGTCTGGCGCTCTGGGCTGCAGAAACCGTACCTTCTTAAGTAGGACATTTTCAACCCGGGTTGGTGTGGGGCTTGGAAATGGAAGCCATGTGCTCCTTCCTCTCTCGCTGCTGTGTCAGCTTACCGTATCTGACCTGTGTTGAGAGCCGCTGAATAATCTCACGGACTTGTCAAATTTCTAAACTTTTGTAAAAATGCAATGGCTGTTTTGGGGGCGAAATGATTTCTCTCGAGGTGAAAGAGGCCAGAGGAGCATTCGCGACATTGTTCGCCGGGCAAGAGCATGTGATGCACATGAGCGCAAACCATGTGGACAGAACGCTGCGCAAGCACAATACGCCTTGTTTCTCTGTTCGGTGCCGCGCCTCACCAGCGTTTGCGCCAGAAGAGCCAGCGTGCAGAGACTGAGCATGGGCCTGGGACGCGGGGGTCTGCGCTCCAAGTCCCCGCTCAGCGATGGAGCCCACTGGGTGGCCCTGGACCGGCGCAGCCTCTCGGCCCAGCCTACCTCGCAGGGTGGTTGTTGTGGGGAGAAGACAGAGCGGCAGCAGCAGAATGACGCAAGCTGCTTGGAGCTCTTTAACCAAGAAAAATGCGGGATAAAGATCCGATGAATAAGCAAACATCGGAAAACGTGCCAAGGGTGCCTCGTCCTCATACCTGGCGCAGCTCGGCTGCTTGTGGGCAAGCAGAGCGTACAAGAGTCGTTTCCCGGCTCAGAGCAGTATTTTCCTGCCGCTCCAACTTTTCCCCTTTGGTCTCTCCCTCCCAACCCGCTTCCTCACCCTTTCCCTCTCTTCCACTCCCTTGCCTTGTTTCCCCGCATCCTCTCAGGGCTGCTATTTCTGCCCCCGCATCTCCCCTGCGAACCCCTTTAGCTTCCTTCAAGTAGCCAGGCCCTCACAGCTGCGCTTATGTGGCTCTGCATCTTCTCCATGGGGGCTATTTAGTGGCACTGCCCACAGCTGCTTCTCAGGCTCCCAAATGCCCCCCCCCATCCAAACAGGTTGACCTCCAAGGCCCTGTGAGTCTCTGTAGTATGTTAGGAAATGTGCAAGCGCAGGATCGTGCCAGAAGCGCTTCCTCTCCTCAGGTTGGTGAATTGGGCTTCCCTTCATCCCTTTTCCGGAGTCCACAGGATTTAAAAGGCCGTCGATTTTGTAGTGAGAAGGCGCCTGCCTCGGGCTTCCTGAGTAAGGCTCAGGACGAACCCGGAGTCTGTCGTGCCTGTAGCCTCAGTGCCGAGTGCTGGTTTTCCGTGCTTTGCCTAAGGTGGTGCTTGCCGGATCTTCTTGAATTATCCATCCTCCCCCGCTTGTTCTCTGTGTTTTCTAATCTGGAATCAGCCGTTTTTGATTTGAATTTCGTTTTTGACGGTTAGCCTTGGTGAGATGGGGGCTGCCGTCACCCCGGTCGGCTGCTCAGTGGTGGTGCAAGCTTTGCACGGCAAAAGTCTCGGGGCAGCGGCGCCTCGGCTCACGAGCGCCTCGGATCATGAACAGATCGGGTCACGAACAAACATTTCATGGAAATTTTGACGTGGGTCGTGAACTCTGCGTTGGGTGGCAACCAAGATCGCAGCCATTTCCCCCCACCCCCAGGTCGCGTTTGTGCGGGGAAGGCGGGCGCGATCTCAGCCATCTCCGTCCCCAGCCAGCACGATCGCAGCCATCGCCCCCTCGCCCCAAGTGGGGGGGTGGCTGTGACCCTGCTGGGGGCGGGGGGGATGCCCGAGAGCGCGCCCATCTCTCCCCCCCCGTGGGCGGGGATGATGGGCGCGTGCAGGGGTGCAGTCCTGCTGGGGTGGGGGGGGAGATGGGCGCGATCTTTGCTGTCCTTTGTCACTTTGCTTCACATTTTTCTGATTTAAAAAGTGGTTGCAGAACGGATCAACATCATTTACATTGACCCTGATAGGGAAATTTGACTCGGCTCACGGCCGATTTGGGTCACGACCAGCGTCCTGGAGCGGATCGAGTGTGTGAGCCGAGGCGCCGCTGTATATCGAACCCGGAAGGCTCGTGGGCAGGAAGAGGCCGCCAGTCGAAGTGGAGAGCGCTGGGCGAGACGGGGCGCTGGGTCTGTCTTGGTACAAGATGCCTTCATGTGCTCGCTTGCCAGCTGGCCAGGCCTTGTCTGAAGAGGCGCTTACTCCTCGCAGAACAAGCCTCGCGTGGGCACATCAGTCTGTCAGCGCAGAGGGACAGAACCTTCTAGGCGCCTGCCGGACGTCGACTCGATAGGTGGCACACTATTTATTTATTTGTTTAAAGTTTTTGTATGCCGTCCCCTTGCTATATAGCCTCAGGACAGCTCACACAAATAAATAAATATAATACAAATACAGATAAAACCTGGAAACACCCCGGCTGCACAATTTAAACTTACAAATATTAAACATTGTTAAAATATTGAATAAAAAGGTCTTGGCCTGGTGCTGAAAAGCAAATAAGGACGGCACCAGGCGGACCTCTTCTGGGGAGCGCAAGGCATAGGCGGGGAGCCACCGCAGAGAAGGCCCTCCTCCGAGTGCTCACCCTCCAAATGTCCTTCACGGAGGGCTCCCGGAGGAGGGCCCCTGCCGCCGATCTCAGGGGCGGGAGGGCAAATACGGAGGCAGGCGTTTCTTTCGGTATCCAGGTTCTGGCTCTGGCTCTGGCTGCCTAGCGCCGTTTCTATTAGGCTTACCTGTTCCAAAGTCTTCATAATGTCTAGGATATTTTGCCTTAAATGGAGATAGAGGTATGTCTTTGCCCAGTTCTTTGCTCACCACCCTATGGGCCTTTTGATCTACAGTGCCTGAAAGAGGATAGCCACTTCCAGTCCTTTATTCAACTCTGGCTGCAAAACCTAGGCCACCCTCATACCTCAAGCATTTCTTGATGCTGCACTCATGGAAGAGGGAAAGCATTTTGCCATCCTGCTGATGCAGGAAACCTTTAATTCTGCCTCCATAAAACAGGAAAAGTTGGTGTTTGGCTTAGGAGTTATTTCGACGCAGCCTGACTTCCTTGGTTCCTCATTTCTCGCAGATACATCTGTAAAGCAGTCGGAAGCCGCATCTCTCCTCACCAGGAGCATGTCCTCCCCTTTTGCCCACGCTGCCAGCCAGCCACTCCCATAAAAGAAAATGAAGCTTACGGATAGCGTGGGATTTAGCTCTGCAGAAATTAAGGTTCCAGCAGCCACGGTGGCCTCCCTGGTGCTTCTCTTGGCCGATTTTATTGGTAAGTGGAGTCCTGAAATCTGCCAAAATGTGTTTTCATGCCTACTTTTTTCAGGCAGTACGACTTCAGGATTGATTCATTTCTAAAATAATGATAAAATATGTCTAAAGTAACATTGCAATCCTAGAGAGTTATTCGTTGAAGCTTCCAGTGGTTTCTGTGTGTCAGCTTAGGATAATGCTCCATCCATCTTATAAAGTGGACTCGAGTCCACAAAACCTTATGCAGTTGCAAACATCCTAGTCTCCAAGACAATTGGTTTGAAATTGGATCTCTCTTGCGCCTTCACTGGATGTTACGTCTTTGAAGAAGATGGCAATTCGCGCTTCTAACAGAAATTAGACAAAGCGCATGTGTGGCTGCAAGAATTAATCAGCTCGATCAGTGCATGGCTGGGTTAAAATGTGGCCATCGAAGTTCAACTGGATCCTGCTTCTGTGGACTCTGCCTGGTGTAAGCTTCCTTTGTGCATTGGACTCGGGCAGTTGTCCAAGAGGGTTCCCACAGCACGAGGTGGCTTGTGTGCTCGGCCGAGAGAAGCCGTGAGCTTGGCTAAGGCCGCCATCCGCCGAGGGAGCCTGCCACCTTCTCTGTTCAGAAGGAGAGCGCAGGTGAGCCCAGGGGGCGCACGAGGGCGGGACGTGGCCGAGTCCAGCCGGCCGCCACTTGTGGCCCTGCTCGCAAAAGGGTGGGCCGAGGTGCCACAGGGATTCTGCACGGGCCCCGCTCTGCCCCCCGGCAGCTCGGGACGGCCCTCCAGCACGTGCTCGGGAGACTGTTTGTCATGGTTTGCGCGGAGAGCACTCTGTGAGCTGCCCGGGTCGACGGGGGGTCCTCTGAACCCAGTTCCTGCTGTGGTGTCGGCGGGATCAGCAGTGGGGGTGTCGAGTTTTCCTATGCCTGGCCAGGCAGCCCACGCCTGCCAGCCAGCGCACACGCCCTAAGCAACGTGATGTGCGATAATATGCGGAAAGCTAGGCGGTGGACTGACTCAAAATGCGGAACTGGCCCAGAGACATCGAGCATTTTGATTCTGGGCATTGCTGGGTTGTAAAAGGCAATCGGCTTAAGGACAGATGTGCTCTTGCGCTCGAATCCTTCAGCACTATAAAGTCATGCAAACCTCCACAGGGAGAGTGGGAGCAGCACGGAGAAACCGACGGACACAGCGCTGGGATGTGCGCTTTGTCGGAGCTGTGTGCTGGCTCCGCCGTCTGACGCGGCACGATGAAACTCGCAACAGATGGCGAGTACTCCCGAGGTGCCAACTCGGGGTCTGACCCCATGTCCTTTCAGGGAGTCTGTGATCGGGTCCCTCGCGGTGCCGTGAGCCGAGACTCCTCCTCTGAATCACCAGCCGCTGGCTGTTTTCCGTGCAACTTTATTGTTCCCAAGGACCAAGCGCCCAGGGCGGGTCTCTGAGCATGCACAGAGGGTGTCCGGAACCCCACCTAGTGTTTCCCTCCTGGAGCTCTCCTTATGGAAATGCCTGGGCCCCATCCCCTTGGGAGGGGCTCTCTGAGAATGCGCTCGCCTCCTCTGCATGCACTGCTCATCCAGGGGGCTCTCCCATCTCTGCGGGCGCCTTGCCACAAGGGAGCAGGGACCTGGCCTGCCTCCTCCTCCTCCTCCTCCTCCTCCTCCTCCTCCTCCTCCTCAGAGACCCTTCCCACTGGCTGTGCATCTTGACTGCTCCCACACTGCCCAACTGGCTGGAGCACCTGCCCTGATACAGCCGTGACCGAGCTCAGCCCCCCCACTTCATTAGACGCCCCTTTCCTGTTCCAGCCATCTGGCATGCAGCCGGCGGTCCAGAGGGAGGGTCCTCCGCACCACCAGCCTTCCTGCTCCCAACACGTGGCTTTCTTCAGAAGCACAATCATCTTGGAGCCCGAGTGGTCAATGCTTCCTGGAAATCTTTGCTCCCCTGTGCCGTCTCCTCCTCCACCATTGACTGAAAGGCCGTCTGGCCCCCAAGGACTTCCTCTTTCTCCCCCCCCCCAAATAATGCCAGCTCCGTCTTACTCCAAATCCGCCCTCAGCACTTAACTTTAGTAGAGCCCCTTCCTCAGAGCACATCAGGGACATCGTGGGAACCGCGGACCAACACACCAGGCCTGGAATTGCCTCGCCGCAGTGGTTATGCCACCTAAACTCAGGCATGTGGAACTAAACCTAAACTAAACCTAGTGCCTCTTGATTTCCTCCGTCTTTTCTGTGATGCATTTCATATATAGTAAGCATCTTGCACTAGATCTATCTGCGTAAATACGGAGACTGCTGTAGGGGAAGGAGGGCTTCGGTTCCTGGGAATACAGGCGTTCCCTGGGTTATGAACGAATGGGTTACGAGCAACCCACGCTCATGAACAAACTGCCATTAATCTAAAAATGTGCATTAAGGACCCTCTGTGTAAAATTGCCGTCACCACAGAGAGAGGGGAAGTGAAAGGGGAGAGGGAGGGCCCCCAAAGCATCTCTATAGAGCGCATGCCTTCCTACCCTGCCCATGTGGAGAGGGAAATCTTTCTGGCATTTCCTTGGTGCAAAGAGGAGGTGCTGGCAATGGGGGTGGGGTGGGGGGGTCTGGGTTGCAGCCGTGTTCTCTGTTTCTCCTCTTTTCTGGGGGCCCGGCACCCTGAACCCTGTGAATGCAGAGGGCTGCCTGTACGTGATCTGACTTACATTCAAATTCAGCTGAAAGAGGGGCTTCCATTTTCTCAGGAATGGAACTGGTTGGTCACCTGGGGCCCACCTGCGCTCTTCCGTCTTGGAGAGCAGTACGTTCTTCTCATGGAGCACATCCAAGAAGCACTTACTCTGGGAATCTGGCACGGTTGCTCCTGGAAGCATGGTTGTGAGGCCCCCGGAGGCGGTGTCCTTGCGGCACTTTCCCACCCTGCGTGACCGAAGACAGTGTGACGTGCGGGAGCCAAGGCAGTTTCGGAACGGAGCGAGGTCAGTCCACGGTCAAAGTGCTTCCCGGCCAGAAGGCTCACCGGTGGCCTTGAAGCAATCCCTCTGCTGCCTTGCAGAGTTTTGGCGAGGATGAAGACAGGGTGTTTGGGTGTTTTAGTGGCGGGGCGGGATGAGAACCTGAAAAGGCTTAAGGGGAGGGTCCTGGTGACGCTGCAAAGGGTTCTGAACTGCAGTTGGATGAGAAAGAGCATCATCCCCAGTGAAGGGCTAGCGAAGCAGCTCCCACACACGAGCAAGAGTCGCGATCGAGCATCACCTCCCGCCTTGCAGAGCCTGCCAGGATGCGCAACGGCAGACTCACCTGTGTTTGAAAGATGGGACATCCCCTGAGAAGGCCACCATTAAACATGAAACAGAATGACATTTTAAGGAAAGGTGCTCAACAAATATTTGGGGTGTCTAAATATGATGACACTTTGAGCACGTGTACACACCACAGCATTGGCCAGTTGCCTTTCTGGGCACCATAACTACACCCAGTGCTTTTCTGGTCATAGAACGCACCAGAACGGAGTTCCGGCAGCTTTTTTCGACAGATTTCCCAAGTTTTAAAAGTGACTCTTGAAAATTGGATGTTTGGTCCACATGGATTTGAATCGCCCTGTCGAGCGCAGCAGGTCGGCGGCAAAATCATTAAAAAGGTGCATGTGGGCCGCTTGCGTGTCGAGTCCGATGCGTGCGTACTCCGCGCTGGTTGCGATGGTGCTGCTCGGCTTGCGGCGCTGCTCAGCTTGTGATTGTAAGCTGCAAACTTCTCCATCATGAAGGCAAAAATTAGAACTGCAGTGCAGGACGATATGAACCTGACGCATGCCAGGGCCTGATCTGAAACGCAGCGAGGTCAGTCTCCGAGAGCAGGAGTGCCGGGCAGCGGAGAGGGGGGACTGAGGAGGCCAGCATGTTCCTGTGGCCTGAGCGCTCCCTGGGTGGGTCACACTGCAAACAGAACAAAGCAGTTCAGATAAAAATAATAGATAAAACAATGACAGCCCAAACCACAGATGCATAATACAGTAAAAGGTACCATGCAAACTGCAAATGGGAAGGTGAGCACAAAACAACAATAAAATGATAGACACAATCAGGGCTTTCTTTGTCATAGAACGCACTGGAATGGCATTCCGGCACCCTTTTTTGACGGATTTTTCCAAGTAATTGTGAATCGCCCCGTTGGGTGTAGCAGATCGGCGACAGAAATCATTAACCTAGTGCCTGCGGGCTGCGTGTGTGTCGGCGCTGATTGCTGGCGCTGCTTGCGAGGGCGCTGCTCGGCTTGGGATGCTGCTCGGCTTGGGATCGGTCGTGTGGTTGCGCGCTGAGTGCTTACTGCTGGCGGCAACCATTGTGTAAAAGTGTGACCCCAAGTGAGATCCGGCACCTTTTTTTTTACAAAAAAAAGCACTGAAGAAAACAATTATTCAATTTCTCATTGGAGCAAAAATGTACCCTGTTTCCCTGTATCAAAGCTATTATTGGGTCTCCTAAGTGATTATTTTCAAGCTTATAAAGTCAGTGATACATCTCCCCATTGATTCATCCTGTTACCGGACTGAGCCAGTCAACAGCTGGGGCAAACCTGGGTGGACCCCAGACCCGAGTCGAAAGGAGCCCGAGACGAGACTTAGAGCCAAATGCAGCTTTATTCTAGTGCACTGTAGACTAAAGGGAGACGAAGGGGGGCATTCGGCCCAAAGCAGTGTCTCGAAAGCTGCACCCCGGAACATGCGTTTTATACCCTGGGTCACCCATCAGGTCACCTAATACACTTCTCGTGCATCAGTACATCAGTGTAGCCACACCCCCAGTGCTGCTAGCTGCAAAGAGTCTGTTCTTCTGTCAAGGGCCAGGCATTTCCCACGCCTATTTCTTATCTGCCCGAGATTCACACGGGCTTGCCGTGCTCTTTCTCCCTGCACATTTGCAACTTCCATGGCGGCTGCAACCCGTTTCCACTGTCCCTTTGATTTCTGTATTCGAGGTCAGGCTGGTGTGTCAGCTGTGGGTTACACAAAGTTCATTTTGTTCTTATCCCCCCTCCCTTCTGGGACAGCATAACTGTGGTGTTTCTACTATGTGGCCTTCCTCTGTCCAATTTTGGGGAGTTTTGGGGTGCTGCAATTGGCAACAATTCCACACATGGCATTAAACATAATCCTGTCAAATCTTTCTCTTGCAGTGAAAAAGAAAAGAAATTGGCATAAGCAAGATACTGGTCAAACTACCGAAGTCAAACCAGCTCAGAATGGTAGTCGGGCCTTCATTAAGGGATTCGACGTCAAACATTCCCCAGGTAAGTTGTGCTATTATGGCGAGAGTCTGAATGGGGGAGAAAATGGCCTAGAAAAAGTGGTGTGCTGGTGCGGCCACGGGAGTGTGGCCCCCAGGGAAGGCTGCTGGGGGTGGGGGAGGATGAGGAAGAGGAAGAGGAAGAGAGCTGCTTGTGAAAGGCACGGTCATGACAAGCCTCCATTGTGCGTATCGTCGCCATCGCAAAGCCATTGCATTTAAGAGAATCACCATCAGTCCAGAGGCAAAGAAGGGAGGAGGATAACAAAGAACACGGGAGAAAAAGGTTTTGTGAACGACATTATGTGATGTCGAGGTTAACAGTGACTGAAGGAAGGATGCCAGTTCCAGAAACACCCCCGGCTGAACGTGTTGCTGTTCCTGCTCTCCACAGATTGTACCCATGGGGAAAAAATCAGCCCCGCACACACCCTTTCCCTTGACTTTTCGGAAAAGCAGCCGGGGAGCCTGCACTTGCGCACCTTGATGAGCACCCGGCGGCCCCGGTAGGTCAGTCCAAGCCGACGAAAGCCCCTGTTAAGCATTAGGCGCGTGAAGCGGGCTCCGGATGTGGAAGGCTGTGAAGCCACGGCTGGTCTCCCTGTCTGCACATCTGCTGGCTCGTCAAAGGAAGCCCGTGTGCAGAGGGCCTTGTCTTCTGGGGCCCTGCTGGCCATGTGGAGACTCTGCCATGAGACCTCCCTCTCCAGATATCCACAACATACAGATGTTCGGGCCATGGCTAGTCGGCAAGTGGCTCACAGGGGCGGGGTGAGCAGCGCTGCCCCACAGCTGCACAACCCTCTGGTGTGTGGCGATCTAGCCCTGTGAATCACAGTGTCCTTTACCTACTTTTAGCTGACAGCAAAACAACCTTGAAACGGGGAAAGAACTGATATGATGCCTCAGCGTGTTCTCTGAGTCATTATTTGGCATTCTTGGGCAGATAAGGTAAACCTGCACCCTGCACGGAAGGAATCTCTGGCCCTCTCCGGATGTTTTGTAAACCGGTGCTGACAAAGGACGCTGCAAAACAGTCAGGCTGATTCAGTGAAACCCCTTGAGAAACAGGCTGTAGACGAATATAGAGGGTTTTCATTCACTTCTGCATGGCTTGCTCATCAGTTCCGTAACCTTCTGTTTCTACCTTCACTGGCCGTCCCATGAAGGTGAGCGGAATCCACAAAACGAGTTGCAGTTTAGCGGAAGCAGAGAAGAGGGCAGCCATGCAGCACCCTAGAGAGTCTTTCGTGCTTTGGAGACACAATTCTCTATATCCTGGGAACTATTTTTCTTTGTCATCAGATATCCTTTGTTGCTGGAGCCGCTCCCTGAAAGGCACTGCCATGTTATATATGCACCACCAAACCCTGCCTGGCAGTTCCTTGCATCCACGTTGGTTCAATATCTTGCTTTCCCAGGATCTGGGAAAGACCCACAGATGATGGACGCTATGCCTGGCCAGCCCAAGGTTAGTCAAATTGCCAGCACTGTCCTCTTCACATCACTGAAAGTGGACACAGAAGCATTTAGTTCAGACGCAGAGTATTGCTTTTATACTTCTTAAATATCCCGATTCAGGTTAGCACTTCCTTAAGGCGACTCGGTGCTCTGTGGCTGTATGAGGGCTGTGGTGAAGGCCACACTCTGTTCACACTGAATGCCCATTCCTTTAAAATATTCAAAACGGTGGGCCAAGCACAAGCCACTCGTCATGAAGAATGGCCTTCAGGCAGCACTCGTTGCAAACTGGTGTGCAGGTGCAGCGTGTTAGATTGCCCCCGGGGAGGCATCCAGACCTGCACGTGTGGGGCCAGTGTGGGGCACAGGAAGCCAGAGGTTCGAAGAAACGGCAGAGAAACAAGGGGAAACTCTCGCTCCCCGGTCCCAGCTGGCCAGCAGAGTCCTCCTGTGCAGGGGGCCCAGAAGCAAGCGCCTCCACCTCTGGCTGCGGCCGCGTTTCTCGCTGCTGGGTCCCCACTATTATAGTATTACTAGCTATAATATGCTATTTTGGGCAGCCCTGGATATTGCGCACAGAGCTATTCACATGAAACCATATCTTTTTCATTCCACAGTTTGTTTGTTTCCAAAAATTGAAATATTTTTAGTACCCATCATTTTGGCATTTGAGAAAAACATCATCCAGTGGTTTGGGGTCGGATCTATCTGGCAGCGGCAGGAAGGGTTCCACCGGTGCGAGAGAAAGCCGCTGTGCAGCCCCCTGCGCAAGCACCACGTCAGCTCCTCAGCCCTCCGGAGCAGATCCGAAGGCTGCGGGACACGGCCGCTCTTCGGGTTCGCGAGAGTGTTACGAGGACTCCGCTGCTTTCGCTCCCTTTGCTCCGAAATGCTCCCTTGCTTGCATGCGGGTGACCAACAGGCCTGGCACCTCCAGGTGGAATTTGGGGCTCCGCCATTTGCATCTATTCTCTGTCCGTCTTCTGTATGCTTCCAACCGTTTGCTCTCTTGTTCTGCCTCCTGGACGCATTTGCTGCTTAGGGACTGAGAGGAGCACCTGAGCCTTTTTAAAACGGGGGGGTCGCGAGATGCTGCTTTTACCTCGGGGGGGGCACTGAGATGCGTGGAACGGAAGTTAGACTAAAACTGGATACGGCCCCTGTGGCGGCTCTTGCCGAACATTCCCTTGGGCGGCGTTTGCCGCCCCTCCCGCGGGGAAAAAAACCCTTTGGGGCACCCCCCCCCCCCCCCCGCTTGCCAATGTTATCAATTCCTCCACGTCTATCGATCTCTGGCCTCACCCCGGCCTTCCTGCATACCATCTCCTCTAAGTGGCTCAGTGCCTTTAAATCAGGGGTCCTCACACGTTTTCAACAGGGGCCAGTGGAAAGGTGCCAGCCACGGGCTGCCAAGGCGGCGCCTACGGGGATGCGTGGGGCGAGTGGGGGCAGGGGGCCCGTGGGGTGAGGCACCGGCTTGCTCATGCAGAGATCATTTTCTCCAAGCATCCAAAACGACCTCCTTGCAAGCAAGCTGCATGCACACACGCGACGAGTGCAAAACCTCTGGGGCAGGCTGGTTAAATAGGCAAGGCGGTCCGGATCCGGCCCACGGGCTGCAGTTTGAGGAGCCATGCCTTAAATGCACGCGAGACAGATTTGCTTGTACGTAATGTAATTTCTGCATCTCCTGAACCTACCCATTGACACTGCCTCCTTGAATTAGTCCTTCAGGTCTTCCAGAGTCACCAAGGCTGTGCATGGGAGCTACATGAACATCAGCAGCAGCAACTGTGCACCAGAATTCCTACGCTATGAAATAATCTCACAGCATAACGGTAATTGCATGCTATAAAATAATCTTGCCCAGCCTAGTGGAAATGTTTTCTTTTCCTTGTTCCATCTGCTGCCCAGGTGGGTTTTACTACATGACCTGAACGCTTTGTAGCATCTGCTGGCAACTTCTGTCTGGCAGCTGAAATAATTTTGCCCTTTCCCAGGAATACTCTAATCAAGAGCCAAAGGGTGAAGTAACACAGCGGGCTCTTTGGTGCGCCAAGGCAGCCCATGGACCCATCCCTTCATGACTGACTGCAGAGTTTTGTAGCGTGGGCGAGGGGTGTCAGAGGTTTTGGGTCATCCAACCAGCCGGTAACCCAAAGGACATCTCCAACAATGAAATCACATCTTAATGAACGCAGCCCGTTATTATAAAACTCCAAACACTGGCTAGTAATGATCAGGAAAAGAGCAGCTGCACTGGCTTAGCATCCTACACTGGAAGTCCGAGTTTCCTCCACAAATGCAGCCACCCCTCCCTAAATCATCTTGCCTTGTGTATAAGGTGCCTTCATGCATCACGGTTGTCCTGTGAAGTTTCCTGTTGAGCCGGAGTTGAGTTTACTTGGCTGCATCTCTTTCTGGAGAACTGAGCAGACTGATTTTCAAAAGCTGATCCTGGGATCTGTTGTAGGACGGCATCTTACGGGATTTAGTTGGCCCCTATTTCTGTGCTGCTTTGGGTGATGTGAATGCCAGCAAATGTTCAAAGGAAGAGAAACATGCTTGTAGGTGCCGCAGCTTAACACTGAGAAAACGGAGGAAACACTGAGAGGAGAAATATTTCTTTCCTTTCTGATGTGCATTAACTTTCTAAATGAGATTCTTCTCTCATTCACTTGGCCTTGGGTTGGTCTGTTGCCACCAAAGTATTGCTGAAGAGCCGAGACACTGGAGGCCAAATGCTATTTTTACAGTTTTCCGAATGCTTCTGAATATCTGGGATGCTTCCGTGGACACATCCACTCCCCAGAGGGGGCATTCTCCATAGCAGCCCATGTGGATGATGGGATAAGTGTTTTCTAGAGTACTACCCACCCCAACCTCCTTGTTGTATAACAGGGAGAGGGAGAATAAAATATGTATTAAATAAAAGAAACATTATATATTGTTATTTATTTTATATTGTTAATTTTAGATTGTTATTTTTGTATTTTATTGTATTTTATTTTGTGCTGTGAGCTGCCCCGAGGCTTCGGCAAGGGGCGGCATAGAAATGTTTTAATAAATAAATGAATAAATATGGAAAATAAAAGCAGTACCAGTACCAGCCGGCACTTGGACAAGTTTCCTTGCGCTGGTAGCAGTGTATACAACTACGCACCCTGCACTATCCCCAATATTTATTTCCGCGAACTCTTACACAGATGACATCTCCTACTCCCTTGGCTTCTGCACTTGGATGTGGGAGAAGATGTATTAACTCGGATGCAGAGAGAGAGGGAATGTGTATTTAGCGATACCAATGCAACTTTTAAAACAGCCGTACTTCCGAGTGCGTGCGGATAGACGCATACCCCTCGGGCAGAAATGGCTCCGTGTCCGCGGGAAAAGCTTCTGAAGCCTTGTCTTCACACACTCCTTTCATATCAGCTTGGAAAATTTAATTAGAAACTAAACGAAAGCATTTTTACTGAATTAGCAGCACTTAGTGTTCTTCACAGCAGCCTGCAATTTGTACACTTTGTTCTCAATACTATATGTAGGTCCTTTGCAACATGAAAACATCTCTTTACATTATTTCTAAATGTAATAGAAACTACGTCCTTTTGAAAATGATCAAGTTTACAGAACCGTTCATACAAAAAGGCATGACTTTGCGAGGCTTGGCTTAGCTCCAGAGATGACAGGAAGGAAGGAAGGAAGGACGGACGGACAGACAGACAGAAGCAAGGCGGTTGGAGTTTTTTTGCGCTGCTGCCGCAGTCCCTCCCGTGCACCAATTTTCCCTGCTTGGATCTCAGGGCTGCCGAGCCTCAAGCCACGAGGGGCTCCCAGCCCACTGTGTGGCCCCACTCTTTCCCCAGTCTTTGGGCAACGCTTCCTCCGTTTCGTTTCGACAGGCCCAGCCTCTGGCAGTGAGAGCTCTGGGCCTGGGGCCCAACCATGCTGGCTTGAGTGGCCCCCCCAGGAAGGGCGCCTGACACGCTTGCCATGGCCTTTCCCATTGCAAGTACAAATGTTATTTTCCCAGCCTTACAGCTTCTCTGGATTTTAACTCTGTTACTGTTTCATAGTCCACTGTTGCTGTTTGTTACTTTACTCTTCTCTTTTAAAGGTTTATATGTATTTTATGCTTGCAATTATGGAACACGCTCCCCAGAGAGGTCTGCCTGGCGCCATCACTGTATGTTTTTCGGCACCAGGCCAAGAGCCTTATATTTCACCCATATTTTAATATGTATTAATAGTAATTGGATTTTATTGTTTGTATTTTATTAATTGCAGCCAGCGTGGAATAGTTGATTTATCTGTTTTATTCTGATTTATGTTATTAGCCGTCCAGAGACGCAAGTAATGGACAGCACACAAATTTCATAGACAAATAAATAAATAATCCTCAGCCACCCAGAAGCTTCAGTAGCAGAGACCTTTGCAATGGACTTCTGCCCTTGGCTGCGAGAAGCTGAGCACCCTGTGCAGGCGGGCCCTGGAGAGCCCGTGGGTTGTCGGCTGCACTCGGCTCTTCAGTGCCCGCCTGGGCCCAGGATTGTATTCCTGTCCCCCAGAGATGCCTGTCTTTTCTTTTTCCCCCAAGGCCAGAAAGGAGGGTTGATGTTTCCGATGTCCACCAGGCGGAAGGACTGCATGATGGAGCTAAAGGAACACGTCGATGATTCCAGCAGCACCAACTGAAAAAGAGCTTGCAATGCAATTAACTTGGGATTTTCCGACACGAGGTAAGATGGAAGAGTAGCTTTGTCCGATTCCTCAGACTCTGAACCACTTGCACCAGCGCTTTCTGTAATAAGAACACTGTTTCTCTTGTAACCCCCTGAGTCCTGTGTAACGAAAAAAGCAAATGGCTTGGCCAGACAAATAATTCAACTCTGCACTTCTGTTTGCTGAAATTTCCTCCGGTGGGCAATGCTTATGGGAAGTGATGAATGTATGATTTGCTGAACCTCTGAGTATTTTTAATTTATTTATTAAGAGCTTTTATATGCCATCCTATTATGTAAAAATCTCAGGATGGCTTACAATGTTTAAAAGAACAATTAAAGCCAAAACAATTTCTAAAAAATAAATTGAAACAGAATAATATATAAGACAAAGCAGTAAATCACAAAACAAAACAAGAGCAACTGAACGTTAAAGGTAGATTTTAAAAAATAGCGTTTAATTACAGAGGTTTTGGTGTGGCGCTGAAAGGAGTATAGGCTCGGCGCCAGGTGTACCTCTCTGGGAAGCACGTTCCAGAGTCTGGGCGCCACCACAGAGAAGGCCCTACTCCGAGTAGATGCCCTTTTTACCTCCTTCAGGGAGGGTTCCCGGAGCAGGGCCTCTCCCGCAGATCTTAAGGGGCATGAGGGCATATAAGGAAAGAGATGTCCCTTCAGGTATCCCGGTCCCAAGCCGTTCAGGGCTTTATAGGTTAATAGCAGCACCTTGAATTGGGCCCGGACTTCAACTGGGAGCCAGGGGAGCTGACGGAGGACCGGCGTTACGTGAGCGTAATGGGTAATCTATAAAGACACAAAAAGATTATTATGGGCAGGAGAATGCCCTTCATAAGCAGAGAAAAGGACGAGTTCTGGCAAAAAGAAATAAACGCTGTTCTAGCAGAGAAGTCCATCTTGCTGGGCAAGAGGAAGAAGTGCTACTTAATGCAGATTAGAGACACGCTGGAGTATAATTGCAAGATCATTTATTTTGCCATATCCATAGCTCTCTAGGCTGCATTTTAATCATTGTTTTAATAATGTAACCATCTTCCCTTTGCACGCAGGATCAAAAGCAATTCCAAAGCTCTGTGATAATAGGCATTTTTCAATGGATACTTTACAGCTTTTTCTCCAGAAACAAGAACAATGGGAAGCATTTTATTCTTGGGGACTGTTGGAACTATCCGCATATACTGCTGATTCAATTGTCGGCTAGCAAATGTTGTATTTTTCAACAAAGACTGTGACATTTTAACAGGCTCCAAAGCTCTGTCTTGACACAGAGCGTACATGGCCTCTGTTTATACTGGAAGTGTTTCATACTTAAGAACTCAAACCAGAAATATTTAGAAAGTAAAAACAAACACATGTCCACATCTGTTTATATAAGCTGTTAAGTATCCAAGCCTTTGGATAAATAAACTTTCAGAAAACCGATAGTGCTCTTCCTTTGCCCTTACATCCACTCTTGGGTGATCAGTGAATTTGACTTTGCTGCTAAACAGTGAAAAGCAGTTCCACGAACAGTCCAGGTGGCGCAGTGGGTTAACCCGCTGTGCTGCTGGGCTGGTTGATCGAAAGGTCGCCGGTTCGAGTCTGCACAACGGGGTGAGTCCCCGTGGCTCCGTCCCAGCTCCTGCCAGCCTTGCAGTTCGAAAGCATGCAAGTGCAAGTAGATAAAAAGGTACCACCTCGGTGGGCAGGTAACAGCGCTCCGTGCACTTCGGTGTTTGGTCATGCGGCCACACGACCACAGAGACTGCGGACAAGCGCCGGCTCCCTCGGCCAGGAAACGGAGGTGAGCACCGCCCCCGAGAGTCAGGTGTGGCTGGACGTAACGTCAAGGGGAAACCTTTACCTTTAACCTTTTAAACTTCTTCAAGGTTCATTAGAAATAATTAAACTAGCCTCGTGCTTTTCCATGATTAGCAGGCTGATTGAAAGTAGCTCCAACACTGCATTTTAAACTAAACCGAACATTTTAATTTCATTTTGATATTTTAACAGAATGTCCAGCTTTGTAGAGTCTCTTGGTATTGTTAAAAAACTTCCTTGGGTGGAAAATTACTGGCCTGATGCTGCTTGGCTGGGAAAACCCAACACGACCAAATACTGCCTGAGCCGCGTGAAGGACGGCTGCACAGGTTTTCCCGGGGACTCTGGTGGAGGCTCTGCCTGGCACCACGTCCCGAAAGCAAGACATTTATCCTTCATTGACTAGCATACCATATTTTGGAAGTTTCACAAGCATGTCCTGCATTTCCAGATCAGTTGTGCCGTTCAAATGCGGGTCTGAAAGCAAAATATGAATAAACCGTCAGCAGCGTTTGACATTCAGTATAGTGACCCTTCTGGAGTAATTCCCAAAGTAACTCGTGCAAGGCCATAATATACGATCTTTCCACATAAATTAAGGAGATGATTCCAATATTAAGGGAAGGGAAGAAAGAGCAGATATGTGATTTGCATATATCAGGCTCTATCGAAACACTAAATCGGGGTAGCCAAACCGAGGATTGGGAGCCACGTGTGGCTCCTGGAGTTTATTTGGGGCTCGCTGCTGCTCGCTGCTCACAGCTCACTTGCGGCTCTTCTGCTGCACAAGTCCAGCCACCTGTACTAAATATTTGCCTTCGGACGGTGAGTACAGTCCTTCCTGCCTTCTGTGCCGAATCGTTGGTTGGCTGGGAGGCAGAAGCGGTGCTTGTGCTGTCTTCCCTCCCTTCAAGAGGGGAAACGGTTGGCGCACCCCTTTGCGGGCAGAAACGATTCTGTCCTGGCCAACGAGGGCAATCCAGTCTCCTGCAGAGCTGAACTGGCCTTAGCCTGCTGTAATACTGGTGTTGTTCAGATCTTCAGGCAAGAACTGAGGCATATGGCACGTAAGCACAATTGTCCTTGTACGAAAGATCCTCCTGCAGCCAGTAAATCTATTTTTGTGCAATGGTTTGATGACAGTGCAGCTCAAACCTGACAGCTGCTTTTTACTGGATTAAAACCAGAAAGGACTTTCTAAAGATAGCAAGGACTAATACAACCTTTCCCAGCAAAATGTCCTCCAGTTCTTTTGGGCTACTATCTCCATCATGCCTCAGTCAGTATGGCCAATAGCTGGGAATGATGGGAACTGTTGTTGAGCTGATCAGAAGAGCACCAGGTTTAGGAAGGCTCTTTGCTTAGGCTGACTACTTTGTAATGAACCAGAAGGTGGTCATTTTGAAGGCCTGGTGTTGTTTGTATGTAAATGGTATCTTGATGCATTTATTTCCTGTACCAATCAGGTGCGTACCCGGCTTTTCCGCATATACCGCTCCAGCTGGTTAACGATAATAGATTTACCCCTACAATATCACCTGAAATACAAGGGATAACAAGAGAAGATAGAAAAGAGGTCGCACACAGAGACACTTGAACCCCGAGGTCCAGATTCAGTTTTAGGGCAGCTGTTGGGGGTCGCCTTCCGTTGCTGGATGGAGAGCAGGGCAAAGGGGTGCAGACAGTGGCAAGGCAGTGGGGCTGAGCGTGCAGACAATTCCGGCGTGTCGCAATTTGATGCTCGCCGAGCCTTTCAAGCGGCAAAAGAGACAAGGCAGCTCAACACGTCGAAAGTTGGAATGGAAGGTGGGCACGCCCCGGAAAAGCCCACCAGGTCTTCAGATTCGGGAGGCAGAATCGTGGTTTGCCTCACTGTGTATAACCGGAGCATCGTTTCTGTTTCAGGGAGAAAAATATTTTATCTCCTCAGGCCAGCCTCTGAGGACATTTCCCTCTGCTAACGCCGGCAGTCCGCGGCGAATCACAGTGAGATGTTTCTTGCTGGTCAAGTTGATAAGTGTGACCAACGTACCGTTAAACGGGGACAAAACTTTTCATCCCATCAGGTGAGAATACGACTATAATTACAGTGCAGAACAGACACTGACAGAACGCGCCTGTTGCTTTGAGTGCTGGAAATACAGATCACACATGAGGTGCGGGAATATGAAGTTATGGCTGTGTGGCTGCATTTCTACAGAACCGCACGTCAGTCCTTTTCCAAATGGGATTGAACTGCTTTGTTCTGTGTCTGTGGCCAGGGCGCTCCATCCGGACCAGATCAAACAGCACCGCACCCGTGAGAGTGTAGGGAGCTGGCATTTTGCAAAGGACCTTTTCCCGTAGAATGAGAATGCACAGAATTGCATGGAGGAATTTATGTGAAATATCCCGAATATGGCAATGAACGACTATCCCCACTGCTGATTCTTCTTGCACATTTCCCCCCAGAGGCCAATTTTGATCTCTCTCTCACCATCGCCCGACTCACGCACGCACGCACACTGACACACTCAGGGCTGTGTGGCCAGAGGTGTGATGAGGGCAGAGCAGCTGACAAGGGGGACCGCAGGGGGACATTGGTGGCCCCCTTCATTTCACCCACCAGATTTCCCCTGCAAGCCCTGCCCCACTTCAGCGCAGCCCCCATATTCTGCCATGTCCGGCAGGCTCAGATAGTGGAACTCACACAATCAAGAGTTATTCAACCGTGAGAGTGGGAATTTACATGGGATTAAGTTCCTGTGCAACAGGAGGTGTTTGCCACACACAGACTTCATAAAGAGCCATGAACCAAAAAGTCCCCAGTTCAGCTTTCTCATCTGTCACATGCTCACTGGGAAGCCATAAACAAACCGGGTGGAGGGAGATGCTAGTGCATTTGCAAGACTGCGGAGGGATATGAGAAGATTGCTGGGACAGTGCCCCTGAGGCACTTTCAATATTAGGAAAATGCCTTTTGCATTAGGCCACCTAGGTCACTGGCCCGACTGATTTGCAGGCTATGTAATTGCCAGGTGTGTCTTGGCAGATGCTGCTGGTCTGTTCCAGCAAATGGGGGGCCGTGTCCAGGGCCATCGCATGCTGGCATAACCGGCATTATTAGCACTTGCAAGGTAAGGGGGATTTCTCTTTGTCTGGCACAGTAATGAAGCTGCACTGGGGCTGTTTGTGCACCAGTGGCAGAGCTGTGGAAGTGCTGGAGGTCACCCCAGGCGATGGAGCAATAACTAGTTTGTGTGTGTTTCCACGGACAAATGCCGCTATATCAGTAAGTGCATCAACAGAGATGTGGCGCATGGGCTTTAGGAGACATGGGTTCTTCCTTGTGGCCTCTGCGCAGGAACGCGTGCTGACTGGATCCGCACACAGCACCGCCTGGGACATCCTGGAACTGAGGCCGGCATGTTTTGGCACAAAAGGCCATCCGTGCTGCTCCGCTTGCCTGGATCTTGACCGCCGAGCAACGGCACCGGATAGGCTTCTTTGTCCGTTTTTCCACGTGAATTAGGTCTACTGCCATTAAACAAAAAGTTTCCGTGTTCTTCCTGTTTGTCACTTGCTACAGTCTTTTACATTTTATGGGTCTTTTCCCAGCCTGGGCAAGTGCTGGAGTTTTGTCTTGCTTTCCAGAATCCCCAAGCACTGTTCTAATAAAAGCAAGGGGAAGGAAAAATGGAAGAAATATTTTAATGAGGACGATTTTGTGGAGATGAAGCACACTGGGACCTGTAGGGCATGGCAGCAGCAGGACTTCCATAGACCTGCACCTCCCCAGTTTTGGGGAGAACTTGAATATTAACTGCGAGGTTCAATAGGCCATCGGTTTGTGTTCAGTGCTGGGGAAGAGAGATATAAGAGGATAGGCCAGGAGCTGCCAATGAGCAGGTCTCAGAAAATAAAATAAATATCAGGCTTCCAGGAAACAGCATTGCTGAAAGAGATCAAATATCAGAATGGTCAGTTACTCTGATTTGCATCATGACATGAAGCAGGCGTTAACTTCTGTTTGAAGCTGCTTTATGGGATGAAAGCAATGGAACCATGAATGGTTTGTACTGATTGTTAAGGAAAATTCTTCTTCTTACCCTGGGTCACAGTATCGATAATGAACACGGTGCGTAACCGTCGTTAAGCAGCCACAGAAGGTGAATGTTAAGCAGACGGAGTCACCAAATGTGCGACGTGTCTACAAACGACGCACCTGTGGGGGCCTGTTGAAGGGGAACCAGAGGAAGACGGGGGGGGGCACTTCCAGGCTGTCCTCTGTTCACAGCATCGCACCTGGAGGCTCAGGGCAACCAGCGCCGTCAAGGCCGCTCTCATGGGCAACCGCCGCGCCTGAGCTCACTGCCTGGCTTCAGGCCAGGCAGGACAATAAACAGGTTGCAGAGTTAGCAGCGTTCTTAGATTTTCTGTCATACGTCAAGAGCTGGGCGCCCGATACAGTTTTATTTACTAATTTAAAATGTGGAGAGTGACTATAGTTCATTCAGTCCCAAGGAAGGGGACATGCTGTGTAAAAGGATGTAATTCTCTGGTGCCGCCCCCTGAGAGAGAGCCAGTGGCTAGAGGCTCGGTCCGGCCACGCGGAGCCCTGATTCAGGCGCTGATGCATCGTCCGTTGGGCAGCGAGTCCGGCTCTGAGAATCTAGGCCAGCAGCAGATGGCTGCCAAGGGGGTGGGGGGAGCGGGGTGGGGTGGAACGCCCCATGTCCAGCGCTGAGGCCTTCTCGAGGGTGGCTAGCTGAGCCCTCCCGGACCCGCCCTTCTCGCCCAGAGCGGCTCTTCCCAGCAAGCTCGTAGGCCATGAGCTTGCCATAACACGAGGACCTGTGCCATAACACGAGCCGGGAGAGGGGCTGGTGGGGGCCAAAGACGAGTGAGGGACGGGGCAGCCCCTCCCTCTGATCACTTCTCTGCTGCACGTCCAGGCGCGTCTCTGCCCTCTGACATCGTCTTGATCCCAGCTTGGGCTCCAGGCCCAGATCTACTTCCAAAGGCCTATGAGGAAGCCCCAGGCCCCCATTACCTCGACCCAACCCACACTTCTGGTTCAGCAAATGAAGCGGTGCCTTCGGATGACTTCTTGGGGCTCTGATGAATTGTTCATGGGAAAGGAGTTCCAACTGAATGAGTATAAAGGAACCTGGAGGGGGATATTCAGGATGCTTCTTACGCGATCGGTGGCTGCCTTTCGATTCTAAAATTTCACCTGTCTTTCACAGGCTGGATTTAGGCAACTTTGACCCCCGTGGAAGGCCTCGCCTTCGCACTGCACTTCCTGCATAGCTTCAGTGTTGAAATGCAGGTGAGGCAAGAAGGCTGAACTCGCTTTGTGCTACAATATTCAGCCATATCCAGTTCTAGAGAGACGGTGGGTTTGATTCAGATCTAGATGTGTGCAACGGGCTGGCAAAAAGAGGCCCGTGCCCCCTCTTCTCCACAGCCGCCCCACACGGGCTAACCAGAAATCAGGAGGGATCTGCTGTTGAGCAGGGGCTGAAGGCAAAGAGGGGACCCCCAAAACTACGTAAGCACCCTTCACCTGCAACGCACACATCCCGAGCCACCTCACTCGGCAGTGTCCCCCGATCCCCGTGCAGCACCCGAGGTGCGGAGCCGGGAAGGAAAGAGGAGGAAGGAAGTCCGTTTCTGCCAGTTCTGTTGTCTGTGTCTGAATCCAGATACAAAATTATGTATCTTCTTTGGGATCATTGTAGAGAGACTAGAAATACTAATACTGGATTGTAGAGCTAGAAAATGTTTTCCATCATTCTTTGGAAAAAGGAAATAAATATTAGTTTCTCTGATTCTCAAATGATACCTAACTTCAATTCATATGCTTTTGATGAATTAGCATAAATGCATCCTGGAAAAATCAGGGAAACTAAAGAAGTGAAAAAGTAAACTATCAATTTCCATTATCCTAAATTTTGTCCAAAAACTTTGTATACCTTTTCACAATCAGTACTCCTAGTCCAATGCACAATGGACTGAAAATTTTATACTGGGCATCAGACAAAAATGCATTTTAGGGTGCCATGATACGCATTAGAGGTGCTCCCCCACGGTGTCTTGTTGAGCAGCGTGCTGCAGAGCTATCAGGTTTTTCCTGAAAAGCAGCGAGTACCAATGTACGGAGTTCTTCCGTTTCCAAATGCGCTGGCCATTTTGCAGCAGTTGGCAGCTTACGACCACTCGCTTGAAAAGAAGCACCTAAAGCCACACGACGGTTATGCTATAGTGCAGTGGTGGGAGAGGCCTTGCTTTTCATTTGCAAAGCTGCTTGTCCCCCGTGCAACTGAAGCACCTTCTTGCCATGTATCATGGAGCATATGAAGTTGAAAGGCGATTAAACATGGTCAGCTTAACCCTGTTCCAGACCTTGAAATGGGATCTTGGCACACAGGGAAACACCTGCTAGAGTCATGTAGAGATAAATACAAACATGTCTCCTCTTTTCCATTCTGGAATACACAATACCACAACCACAATACCACACAATGCTTAAACTGGTAATCATGCTTGGACATTTTTTAAAATAACACACCTCTGACTGGGAAAACATGCTTTCAGGTTCCAATAGAACTCCCTGAAGTAACTTTTTAAAAAAAAATTATGCAGTTTAATTAAAAAATGCTCATGAAGCAGGAAGGGTTTAGGATGTCTGGGGTCAATAGCAGGCACATTGTTCATAAGCACACTCCAAAGCAAAGCTGATCCCTTCCAAAATGATCCCCATTCAGAGAGTGCAGCATGATAGAAATAAACTCCAGCAGTAAATTTTCCCAGGAAAAATACACCATTGCAACATATGTGCAGGCATAAGCATTACTTTCACTGACTTCAATTAGGTACATGTTCAGAACAAATCCGCATGAAGTAGCCTGGCTATTTTCACTGGATTGTCCAACACAATCCCAAGATCCCTTTCTTGGCCGGCCACAACTAGCTCTGTCCCTGTGACCTTGAGGGAGGTGCAGCTGTGTCTGTATTCTGCAGGCAGCCTCCCTAGATATCACCTGCGGGGGCCCTTCACCTGTGGGGCCCCTCATGTCTGAGAGCAGCAGCTGGAGGCCAGAGGCAGCTCCCACCTCAGACACTCTGTGCTCACTACAGAATCTATGGGGTCCCACCTTTGCGGACTGAGGGCCAAACCCGAAAAAGGGAAGGGCTGGCCATGGAAGGACAATCAGCACCTGTCCATTCAGGTGACTGGCGTCCCCGTGGGTCTGTGCTCCGGGTCCACGGCAAACAGCAAGACCATCCAATTCATTCCAGGTCCCTTGCGGTGGCCCCACAATAGTTTGGCTGACTAACTTTAAGAAAGTGCAGCAAAGCTTCCTTCAAAGGATTTTACTCCTTTTGGCAGAAGGTTTTGGCTAAGATCCTTCTGTGTGCAGAGAGACCAAGCTCATCCATGCTAATGAATCTGCCTTGGTCGCCCTGTATGATGACCTGTGCAGGGAGAAGGACAGGGGGAGTGCGTCTTTGTTGGTTCTCCTGGACCTCTCAGCGGCTTTCGATACCATCGACCCCGGTATCCTTCTGGATAGGCTCGCGGGATTGGGGGTCGGAGGCACTGCTTTGCAGTGGTTCCGCTCCTATCTCAATGGCCAGTTCCAGAAGGTGGTGCTGGGGGACTATGGCTCTGCGCCATGGCAGCTATGCCATGGAGTTCCGCAGGGGTCCATCTTGTCCCCCACGCTCTCCAACATCTACATGAAACCGCTGGGAGAGGTCATCGGGAGTTTGGGCTGCGGAGTCATCAGTACGCTGTCGATACCCAGCTCTACCTCTTGTTTGCATCTGCTCCAGGTGAGGCAGTGGCTGTACTGAGCCGAGCTAATGGGCTGGATGAGGGCCAATAAACTGAAGCTCAATCCAGACAAGATGGAGGTCCTGCTGGTGGGTGGTTTGGGCTTCAGGGGAGGGGACTGGACCTTGTCCTGAATGGGCTTGCACTCCCTCTGAGGGACAGGGTCCGCAGCTTGGCAGTGCTCCTCGACCCGGAGCTATCGTTGGAAGCTCAGGTGACAGCGGTGCCAAGGAGCACTTTCCTTCAGCTTCGGCTGGTCCATCAGCTGCGCCCCTACCTGAAGAATGGTTGCCTGGCAACAGTGACACGTGCATTGGTAACTTCCCGATTAGATTTCTGTAACGCGCTCTACGTGGGGCTGCCCTTGAAGACGGTCCGGATACTTCAATTGGTGCAAAACAGAGCTGCCAGGTTGCTGATGTTGTTCTCATATAACCCCAGTTCTCCGTCAGCTTCACTGGCTCCCCATTGAAGTCCGGGCCCTATAAAGCCCTCAGTGGCTTGGGACCTGGTTATCTAAAGGAGCGCTTGCGTCCCTATATGTCCTCCCGCCCCCTGAGATCGGCAGGGGAGGCCCTTCTCTGGGAGCCCTCTGTGAGGGATATTAGGAGGGTGAGCACCCAGAGGAGGGCCTTCTCTGCGGTGGCGCCCCGTCTATGCCATGTGCTCCCCAGAGGGGTTTGCCTGGCGCTGTCGTTATTTGTTTTTCGGAGCCAGGCCAAGACCTTTTTATTTAAACGATATTTTAATTGTTAATTGTTTTAATTGTTTTTATTTACTGGTGTTATACTATTGCCGAGATGCTCCGGATTTTTAATGTTTAATCTGTGTTTGCTTAGTCTGCTTTGTGAGCTGCCCCAAGGCTTTCTGCAACGGGGGTGGCATAAAAATGCCATGATAGATAGATAGATAGATAGATAGATAGATAGATAGATAGATAGATAGATCAAGCAAGCAAGCAAGCAAGCAAGCAAGCAAGCAAGCAAGCAAGCAAGCAAGCTCACATTCAATCCTCAGTTCCGGCGATGGAGGCCCCTGAGCATGTGCTGGATCCCCTCATGCACCCCCTGAACTGCCGACCAAGCGCCAGAGCGCCCACAGCCCGATGTGCCCTCAGGAAGGGTCCCCGCAATGTGAGGATGGCTCGGCACGGAAGGGGTTCCTCCTGTGTTGAGAGAGGATTGGGTCGGGTTTAACGTGGATCTCTGCCGCCTCCCTGTGGCCATCGGCGGAACCGCAGAGCATCCAATTGTGGCCTCGAGAGAATAAGTGTACGGCAATCATGCAATTAATGTCCATTTGTTTCTTACTCGAAGGGAAGTCACGCCCCGCTCAAACAGTTGGGCGGAAAAGGCGATGGCCCCGGTGTCCCCAGGAGAACTGCAGAACCCCCGCATGACTGCGCAGCTTCGCAGCTGGCCCCTGGCACACGCAATGCAGGTGCCTGGCGAGCCTTTCTGTGGAGGCCCTTCCATAGCGGGGGCCACCACTGAAGAGGCCCTCTGCTTGGCGGTCAGCGCATGAGGCACCCACGGCAGGGAGCGGCCTCTGGGACGGCTGCATGGCCTGGGCAAAAGCCCGGTGCTTAGCGTGCCGTTGTCCTACGCACACCTTGGTGCGGATCGGCCGCAGTGTGTGCCAGGGCGCGCAGCCGACAGCGCAGCGTGTCGGTTCCCGTGAGTCCCCGTGTCGTTTCGTTGCCCAGCTCTAAGCTCGTGCTGGGGCTTCCGGCACGGGGGGCAGAGGGGCGACGCCTGGTAAACCAGACTGGCTGGAACGGGGACTGTGCTTGCTAAGGGGGCCCTGAACACAGGGGCTGCCCTCCTGCCCCTCACCAAGACTCCCATGGATCTCGTGCAGTATCCCCTTACGTATGTTACCTTACTACTCCTACCTGGGGGAAAATGTTCTGGTGCACCGAGACTGCTGGTTGGAGAGCTGCGAGGGTCCGTGAGCCAATGTGCTAGCGTCATTCACGCTGGCAGAACTCAGTGGCATTTCTTTGACTTATGCCCCACCTTTTCCGCACAAAGAGCTCAAGGTGGCTTAGCTCCTCCTCCTCCTGCAGCTCTCAGTCTGATCCCCAAAAGAGCAACCCTGTGAGGTAGGCTGGGCTGGGAGGCTTTACCTCCCGCGGTCGCTCCATGGCCGAGAGGGAGGGGACCGGGACTCCGGTCGCCAGCGCCCCAGCCCCGTGCGCTCAGCCACTCCGCCGCTCCGGCCATGCCTGACTCCGGGGGGCTGTGGCCGCGCTGTGGCCCCGCGCGCCGGGCTCGTCGCGCATGCGGGTCTCGAGCGCCGCGCATCCTCCCGTCCGCGCGGCGCCATTGCGTGCTCGGGATGCGCCGCCGGCACGTTGCGGGGTCGCGCTCGCCTCCACCGTCCGCGGCGCGAGGGCTGCCCGGCGGGGGGCCCCATCCCGGCGGGGGGACCGCGACGGCCCTGCTTCCCCTCCCTCCTTCCCTCGCTTCTCGCCCTTTCCTCCCGCTCCAGACCCGGGTGCCGCTCCGACGCGCCCTTGCACGCGAGCGCCGCGCCTGCTGCAGGCAGGTAGGTTGCGAAGCCGGGATGCGCTTCCGATTAAGGATGGGTATTCGAAACCCGGGGGGCGACGGGGGAAGGGCTGGGGGTCGCCCCCCGCGCCGCGCCGCGCCGGATCTGGGTTTTGCCGTTTGGTTTTACATGGCAGGTCACCGCGCCGGCTTGCAAAGCTAGTCTTGGCTAACGAACGGACGTAGCTCCGTGACCGCGGCTCCTGGAAGGGGGTAGATAGAGGAGCAAGGCGTTCTGGAATCGGGGAGAAAAAGCGGAGGAGGAGGAGGAGGAGGAGGCGTGTTGCAGACGGAAGCTGCAATCTTCGCTGCGGAGAAAGATGGCCGGGACCTGGGCGGCTTCCCCGCTTTGGCGCTGCACCAAAATTCAGGCTGCGTGACCATCGCGGAGGTAAGAAATGGCCGAAGATGCTGCGCCGGCTCTTGAGCGCTGCCGCAGACCATCAGGTGCGGTGCTTTCTGCGGAGGATCGGGCGGTCTCGCTGTTGCATCGTGGTCCCGATCCTGTATCATGCTGGACTTGAGGGGCGGGGCAAAATGCCATCCCTAAAAATAATGCTGGTTCCATGTATTTGCATTTATACGGCCGCCATATTCCCTGTATCCATGGAACGACTGCCGTTCTCTAGCCCCGTTTTGCCCATCCGGTGGAAGGCAGGCCCACCAGTCCCCCCTGCCCCCCCCCGTGTAGAAGAGGCCCATAGCTGAGCCCCACCCCAGCAGGTGCGGAAAGGGGGG